ATTTTCTTCGGCTAGAAATAATAAAATGAAATCGTAAGCGATAGCGATAGCCTTAGCAATCCCGTTAGGCGTATGGCCCCCAGAACACTATGTGATGTGAGGTGAACAGAATCCTCCCAGAATCCTCCTTTGCCGTCCTTTCGATATGTTAAAGGCGCGATTATGCTTGGTCGTTAGCCCGAATACGAGTGCCAATGGAATTTGGGTAAACGACCCAGTGTAAATGAAAGGAGTCGAAGACGCCCGTATTAGGGTAGAATTCATCTCTTTAATTTACACGGAATGTAAATCTATTATACGTTTAAATCTAAAGAAAATATAAGTAGAAAAAATTCCACGCGGACCAGGCAGCAGACGGGACTCGAACCCGCACCCTTCGCAATCCGGGCGAATGCACTGACCAATTATGCTACCGCGGCCCTCACGGACCGCGTCGAAATTCTTCTAGCCATTCTTAAGCTGCAAGGCAGCGCCATCTCTTCGCATTGTACGTAACCCACAAATTTCGACGCGGTCCGTGAGGGCCGCGGGAGCATAATTGGTCAGTGCATTCGCCCGGATTGAGAAGGGTGCGGGTTCGAGTCCCGTCTGTTGCCTGGTCCGCGTGGATTTTTTTCTAGTTATATTTTCTTTAGATTTAAACATCAAGCAGTTAAATAAAGTAAACATTTAACTATTATACGTTTCTTAAGCAATATAGTAAAACACTTTTCGCCAGCGGTGCCTATGGTTGAATTAAGGAAGCAGATATTACGTGCAAGCCTTCTCGGAAAACCCGATAAAAACCGTCCGCGTCACGGCTTGTTGACATTGCTGAGAGGACGCTGTCATGCGGAGATGCGCCAACATAGGCGTAGGTGACGCGTCCCTATGTTTGGACTACATTATGCATTATCACTTTTTGTGATAGACGCGGAGACCTCGGAGAATTACCCTAAAATCATAGGAGAGGTTTGCCTTTCACTTATTTTTATTTCGCAGGATCTGATAGATCTGCTCTATAAAAATATCAAAATAGTACATTACTGTAGCGGCCAGCAAAAGAGGCATTGATGGACAAACGTGTAAATGTGGGCCGAGGAGAAGCCGAGGCAGACATACGTTACGACATCAATGCCTAATAGGGATGATGACTAATTTTTTTCTTCGTTTATAAGGTAGATTATCAAAAAGTATTGGACACGTATTTTTTCTTTTTTCACATAATATAAACATTGTAGAGATATATTGATTTGAAAAGTCGCATGACGTCACGTTTGAGTACACTTATAAGTGAAAATTCACTCAAAAGTGACGTCACGAGCCCCTACTCTCAAACTTTGACGCGCTATAACTTTGTCATTTTTTGGTTGATTGCCCAAAGAAAAAATACGTGTCCATTATTTTTTGATCATCTAACTGACGGACTAAATAGAATTTCGTTTACTGTACCCCGTCATCACCCCTATTGTGGCCAAGGCTTGTATAGTACTTTTATCAAAAAATGCGCAGAAATTAAAACCACGTAGTACCTAGACAGACCTTTCTTCAAAATCAATGTCGAAAAACAGATAATAACACTTATTTATTTGTTTGTTTTTTTTTTTATTTCAATAAGCAGCTTTCTATTTGCAAGTCAGTTTGAAATTAAATAAATCCTTCGATAAGGTACCATGTTTCGGAGTAAAAGATTTTTAGATTACACGACAGATAATAGTATGAGTTTACTATGTACCTAATTTTGGTCGCTAAACACGATAAATGTGGATTTTCACACAACTTTTGTCGGTCGCTGCTCGCATGTATGTCGCCAGTACACCAATTTCGATTTATCTCGATGAAGGTTGTCCAAATAATGCTCAAATTAAAAATCGGCATGCATTTCAAAAGTCAAAAAGTCAATAATCAAAATATCTTTATTCTAATTAGATGCACAATACAACTCTTTTGAATCATCCATATTTGTTCCCCTACCACGTTAAGGACATTTTTTTTAGCTGTGGAGAAAAACTGGTGATTAAATAATGATGTAACAATATTTGCAAAATATTATAATGTTACGGTGTCAATACAAAATCGTATCATCTTCATCATAATTATAGGAATAACCTGCCGAACGTTTGGGACAGTTTAAACCCAAGCATTTTTGTCTGATATATAATCAGACTTTTTATAATAGGCTTTATTAATAAGAACTCTTATAATGGTAGTTTTAAATTTATTAACGCTTAATTTTTGGATATTGCTACACTTTATAGAAGCGTACACAAAGACCTTCAAATGAATTATTGATTTTGTGGAACCTTGTAATTGGTACAGCTAGTGCTTATCACTATTTATAGGAAATAATGTAATATTTTTTCGAACTTACATGAAATTTTCATAAATGTACTGAGAAGCAACAGTCATTATTAGCGGCCCGCCCTCGCTTCGCTTCGGTGTAGAGCTGAAGTGTAGACTACAGTTTTTGTTCTCAGGCTTGTATTATACACAATGACATTCATCTATGATTCTTCTTATACCTCATTTCAGCCCGATCTGTCCAGTGGTCTGGGCTGTGCGTTGATAGATCACTATGTCAGTCAGTCACCTTTGAGTTTTATATATATAAGATTTTTGCTCTTTAATTTGACGTTCCTCGTGAAAGCGTGAGACAGACTTAATTAATATCGAATTTACAATATTTACTAACATGGATTATCATGGAACGCCACGAAAATTTGCTGAAGAACATTATACGACCCCCGAGGGGTCTCCCCCGTACATCTTACTCGTTGTCTGATTATTCGATTCTGAATCAAGGACAAATCTTGTGTTAACATTGTAACAATATAAGGAAATTTGCCTTATCTTCAACCACTCATACTTAAACAATTTGTGTTTCCACAGCATGTGACACGACAAATGCAAAACCAGATCAGGTTTAAATGTTTGGAAATTATTTCGTACTAATTCTGTTTGTTCATAGTGTTCACGAAGTGTTTTCGCTTTTAGAGCCTGTTGACGTAAGATTCTTATTAAATTACTCCATACTGTACTTGTTTATGTAGTTATAAATGTCTTGGTATATTTTGAAGTCATAACTTCTTATGGAGAGTAAACCGCTTCGTTACGTAACGCGTTACGGCGCCAGTCTGTCCGGCTTCCCTTCCTCTCAAGCGTAGTCACTTAGGCAGTCTCTCCCTCTCTTAAGGTAAATGTAACGGTTAATATATATTTGTTAGTTTGAGAGTAAGAGTAGTTCAACTTTGGTTAAAGAAAATTTCTTACCTATTTATTTATTTATGTTTCAACAGCGTTTTACACAATATAATCTAATATAATTTTTTACTTTAGCCAATTACAGAAACTCACTTTGTATTCAATTCAAAAATTAAAATGATAAAGTAGAGTAGAAATTAAAAATTAACAATGACATAAAAGAAATTCCAACAAAGATTCAAATTAATTTTGCGATAAATATAAATACCTAGATAAATCAAAATTATAAATGGAGCATGATAACTAAATTTTTGTAAATGTGTGTGTGTGTGTGTGTGTGTGTGTGTGTGTGTGTGTGTGTGTGTGTGTGTGTGAGTGTGATTGTGTATGTATGTGTGTGTGTGTGTGTGTGTGTGTGCATGCCTTCCGTAAAAAATATCCATATCGAAACGAGCCGGTAAAAACAGCGAAATGCATGAGCCGGAGCCAGTGCGCGTAGACGGTTGTGCATATTACGTGCAGGTATCTTATCACATTTTTCGCATGGTTTACATGGCGGCAATATTAAAAAGTGTAAGTTTAGGAAACCAGAAATTAAGTTAAATTAAATTATTGAACTCATTAGAAGAAAACATTAACGGCGCTGCTGGTTAGAGAGAGAGAGAAGGGGTCTGCCTACCACTGCCGTATACGTGAGAAGATGGGAAGGCAGCCAGACAGGTGTCGTACGCGTAACGACAGAGTAAATAGGTTTTCAGTCGTCGCAGCCAGGTTGTAATATTATTAGGGGCAAAGATAGTAACTGTGTAATGATTACAAACATTTGTACCCGTATCACGGCTGTTGATGTATAGTTTTCTACAAGAATACTATTATCTCGAGCTTCCCCGTGCTTCGGGACGCACTTTAACTTATTGGTCCCCGCAGCATCTGCGGTTGTTAGCACCCACCAATTCGCTCTCGTTATTGGTCATGGCCCAATCTTCGTATTCCATCCATAGGGAAGGCCTGTGCCCCATCAGTGGGGCCCCAACATTAATAGGCCGTTCATGTCAATCTCTACGTTACCCTATAGTGTTTACACACAAGTTTTACAGTGTTTATTCTAGGGATAGCGTTATTGGTATAAATCAATAAATTGGACCGCCTTATGAATAATGCTATACGTTTCATCTTTTGCCTCCGCAAATTCGACCATGTTTCTTTATATCGATCTCAACTAAAATGGCTTCCTATTCGCCAACGTAGGCAGTTAAGATTACTCTGCACTCTTTTTTCCATTTTTTCCAACCCTCATTCTCCAGAGTACTTGAAATGCAAGTTTCAGTATCTCTGTGATAGTCACGACCGTCCTCTCCGCTCTGCTGATTCATTAGCTCTCTATATTCCTCTTTCTCACTCAGGCTATATGTCCAACTCCTTTACTATTCAAGCTATACGACTGTGGAATGACCTTCCCGACTCCATCAGATCTCCTAGTAAACTTATATTTAAAAGGAATGTTCACGCTCATCTGTTGCAAAACTTAAGATGAAGTGTCATTTTATTAATCATCATCTTGTGTATATGTTTGTATGTATTATATTATTTTTATAGTATGTATTTATGTATGTATCTACGTTAATTTGTATATATATTCGTATTTAGCTTTATACCGCCGTTCGTGTTTTTCATTTTTCCCAAAGGTTGACTGGGAGAGAATGCTTTTAGCATTAAGTCCGCCTTTTGCACCAATGTTATATATTTATATTCTAGTCAATAAAGTTTAAAAATAAATAAAATATAAATGTAAGGAATATTTACTTATTCTTCTTCTTCAGGACCGCGGTGGCTGGTCACAGTGGAGCGAGTGGTCACTGTGCTCCAGAACGTGCGACGGTGGCGTGTCACGACAACTCAGGACATGTTCATCGCCGGCAGGCTGCCGGGGAGAACCCGTGCGATATAAGATCTGTAACATGCAGGTGAGAACCTTTGACCACATTGGTTGGTCGCAGTAGAGTAAGTCGCTCTGCTCATGAACGTGCTGCGGTAGCGTGTCTTGACACCTCAGAATATGTTCCTCGCCAGCCGACTGTCGAGGAGAGCCCATCCCATGCAAGATCTGTAACATACAGGTGAGAACATTCGACCGCGGTGGCTGGTCACAGTGAAGCAAGTGGCTTCTTTCTCCAAGACGTGAGACGATGGCGTATCGCTACATCTCGGGACATGTTCCTCGTCAGCCGGCTGCCGGGGAGAACCCGTGCGATATAAGATCTGTAACATGCAGGTGACAACTTTTGACCGCATTGATTGGTCGCAGTAGAGTAAGTCGCTCTGCTCATGAACTTGCGGCGGTAGCGTGTCTCGACACCTCAGAATATGTTCCTCGCCAGCCGACTGTCGAGGAAAGCCCATCCCATGCAAGATCTGTAACATACAGGTGAGAACATTCGACCGCGGTGGCTGATCACAGTGAAGCAAGTGGCTTCTTTCTCCAAGACGTGCGACGATGGCGTATCGCTACATCTCGGGACATGTTCCTCGCCAGCCCGCTGCCGGGAAGAGCCTATCCAATACAATATCTGCAAAAACCACGTCTGTTATTTTTTTGCCGTACTCTTTGATTACGGGTCTAGCTATTACGGTTCGTGAGATTACAGCCTGGTAACAGACAGACAGACGAACAGTAGAATCTTAGTCATATGGTCCCGATTTTGCCCTTTAGGTAAGGAAGTATAAAAAGATCTTCAGATTAGTTTTTGTTACGTGAAATTTTATGTTAATTGATGAGATGATGATGGTAAAGAGCCTATTAAGACGTTGGCCCCGGCTGCAGCTGCAGTAGTTAGCACCCACCAATCCGCATCGGGTCCGCACGGTAGGTCATGGGCCCAATCTCTCTATTCCATCCATTGTAGCAATTAAATTTAATAACGTTAAAAACTTAGCAATATAATTCTTAAATATTAAGTCGTAGAAATATTATTATTTATTCAGCGCCATCTATCATCATGCATATAAATTATTCAATATCGAAATCCACTTTGAAAAGCAATGGACAAGTACAATATATGTGTGAACCTAGTAGTTGCATTTGGAATGTAAGTTAGAGGGAGCTAGTGTGTAATTTTTTAAATGAGATGCGGAAATGGATGTGACGTCACATTAATGTTCTGGAAACATTGAAAGGCGGAGTCAGCAAAACCGGTCCGTGTGCTTCCTCATACCAAATATGGTAATATGAGAGAAATTTGCAATGACGCTGTCACGTGTTGTAGTAGCCTATAAATAGCAGTGCACAAACAGATTCGCTCTCTTTTGGCAGATAGAACCTTGAAGACCATACTTAGAAAATAGCATTAAGACTAGCAGTGGTAGTCAGTGCATTATATACTTGTTATTTCTCCCCGGATTAACGGGTAAGTTCAATACATTTGATTCGTTAGGCTGTAGGTCCAGTTAGTTTTTTTATTGAATTAAAGAAAAATATGTAATTGGTTCTAGGTCCATTAATTTGGCTAATTAATAACAATAATAATCACAATTACTTGATCCTGACTGGAATCTCCTTGGAGAAATATATATATGAGCCTGTGAAGCTTTCTTGAGCAAAAAGTGACGGGTTCACGTGATGACAGCAAGTCCTGCTTCATCCCTGAGGACATTTGAGTGATCCTGATGCTCCCATGATCTTGCCAAGCTAAGTAAAACTTATAACTTCTTGATATTTAACCAGTGCATACTCCGGAGAACAATTTTTGTTTAACGTGATAAATTCTATTGGTAAACTGTAAAGCCATTATAAGTACATAACAATTTTTATTGTTAAATTTTTAAAACTTAGTATTTTATAACTTGTTTAATAATTTGTGTATATAAGAAACTTAAATTGAGTATTACTGTATTAGCACATGATCTTGAATGTTTGAATAGCTATAAATCAAAAGAAAAATCTTTGAAGAAATATAACTATGTATTTTTAACTTGAATGTGACTAGTATTAAGTTTTAACCATGATGAGATAAGATCTGAATCTTTTTTTAACAATATAGTATCTTGTTCACTGCGGTTTTAGACATTTTCATTTATCTCCCTCAAATCACAGTATCACGGCGCCCTGATTTTAAATTAAATAAGTTTCGAGTCTCATGTAAGCCCTGAAATAGTCGGTGATAACAAAAATTGTTACAAAATGGCGCCCAACGTGGGGCCGAGCAATAAAATACTGTATTTGAGGGAAATACTGGTGTGCTGATATGATGATAAAAAGGTTGGCGGAAAAATAAATGCTTAAATCCCCAATCAGTCTGAACGGCACACTAGAATTTAACATCTAATCAAAAAAAAAAAAAAATTAACTTAAAAATCTTTAATATTCAGAATTTGTACTAATGTGTTAATATGATGATAAAAAGATTGGTGGAAAAATTTAATGCTTAAAATCCCCAATCAGTCTGAATAGCACATTAGAAGTAAATTACTTAATAACTTAGAAAACTTTAATAAACACACTAGCATTAATTAACTTAGCACATTAGAAGTAAATTACTTAATAACTTAGAAAACTTTAATAAACACACTAGCATTAATTAACTTAGCACATTAGAATTAATCAACTTATACTACAATAACACTTTCGTATTGATTGGATGCGTAAAAAATTGACCTTGAACAGTGAACAAGATAGTCTTTAAGAATTGAAACTTGTAATAATAAAAGTACCCTCCTTCAAAAAAAAAAAAAAAAATTTTTATAAATTCCTTTGTATTTAACTTTCTTAGATTAAATAACTTGAATAAGTAGCTTGATTTAAAAACTTGATTAAACGTAATTTAATAATTAACTTAATAATTAACTTAGTAACAGAAATAACTGACTTTAACTTGAAAAAATCTGAGAAAATGCTCTCTATACAAAAATATGTAAACTACTTAAGAAAGGATGAAATCATATATGAATTGGATATTCTTGGCATTTCCACAGCTCCTGACACATCGGTGGATGCACTGAGAAAGCAGCTTCGCCAAATTTTTAAGCTGAAGAGACGTGGCAGCATCAAGTGTGCTCCAGTGATCACACCACTCCCGGCAAGCGAGCTCAAGGCATGTACGCCGAAAATTGCTGAGCTCGAGGATCAGCTGTCATCAGGTGACCTCGGAAAGGACAGTAATCTTCACTTACGTGTGTCAGTTAGGGCCAATTATCTAATCGATAGACTTGCTCGATTGGAGGTTGACAATGCTTCTCTTGTGGATTTGCGCCACAGGCTCATAAGAATATTAGCTCAGGTAGACAAAGAGGATGAGAGTAGTTCAGACGAATTAAGTAGTAAAGAGGCAACTCCCGAGTGTGAGATAACGAGCGAGATGAACGAAAGGAGGAAGGTGTACTTAATTAAAGATAGACGCATTAATTTAAACTCATTTAACTTAAAATATGATGGTTCTACTTGCGTTAGAAATTTTATAGAAAGATTGGAAGAAATTAGACACGCCCGCGAGATTCCGCAATCTCGTATGCTAACTTCATTTTCAGACCTCTTAGAGGATTCTGCTTTGATTTGGTTCAGAAGTAATAAAGATAATTTTAATACATATTCTGACCTATTAATTAACTTGAGAGAAGATTTTGATATTCCTGATTTAGAAATAGATTTAAAAACCAACTTATGACGATTAGTTCTCTATTAAAGTAAATTTAATAAATCTTAAATCTTTAATATATATGCAATTCATAAATTAATTACGATTGATTATTTAATTATCTCTGTTTAATTTAGTGTTCACCAAGTACCTTGACTTTTATTTAAAAATATATATATTGAGACACTATTAAGAATGTCGTTAGTTAATAATTATTTTGATAAATACTTAAAAATAATCTTAATTCATAACTTTAATTTCCAATGGAACTTTTTAATATTGAACCTAACCTTAACATTTTTGATACCTCCAATTACTTTCCCTAATTACGATATATTTATCTACCTGCATTCTGGATATTGGTAAGGTACTTGTAACTTTTTTACTTGCAAAAAGTTACAGGAGCTTATTAGTATTTTCCACCAGGTGAGGAAATATTTAATTGTTTCTCACCAAAGGAATGAAGGATGGTTGGTATATAAATATGTGTAATTTCTAAGAAAAGAAATAATATTAACATGTCAATACGGCAAGCCCATATCTAAAACTTTTTTTTACTAGTAGTTGAGATTTATTTGAACCTTTTCCACACACTTGAAATTAGAAGACGTATTTAATTGTAATAACATATAAGTTCAGAAATATGTTATGTTGCACCCTATACGGTCAGCAACAGGCATAGCTGTAGTTAGTAAAAACTTAATAATAATTTTTTTTACAAGGTAAGCAGACACTTAATTGCTGCCCACCCAAGGAATAAAAATAAATTTAAACTTGATAGCATTTTCCAAAAGGGGAGTGGACTCTTAATTGCTACTCACCCAGGGAATGCTAAATAATTTAAACTTGACAATTTTTCCAAAAGGTGTGGAAATATTTAATCGTTTCACACCCAAGGAACAAAAGTTTACACTTAATAATACTTTCTTCCAAAAGGTAAGCGGATACTTGATTGCTGCTCACCCGAGGAATGAAAATTATTTAACTTAATAATATTTAGTTCCAAAAGATGAGAAAATATTTAATTGTTTCCCACTAAAGGAATAAATATTTATTAAAGGTGTGGTAACCACTTAATTGTCACCACCAGTTGATACTTTGTCCAATCTTGATCGTAGATGTTTTTGCTTTAATGTAATGTTAACTTAGTAAAGATAGCTTAAATTTTTTTAACAAACTTAAAAATTAATAAACCTTTGAATCCCTTTTTGATGCTTATTTTGGTCACTTTCAGTATTAATCGGTTGGCTAAGAAGAGTTGAAGTATAGGAAAAGTGTATATGGAAATCTGTGGGCTACGGTTCGAAACCTGCCAGAAAATTAAATTATTTTTTCTT